AAAAAGTGGACACCAAAAGAACGGTGACGATGGGGTTGCGGAGGATCCCGGAAGAATCCTTCCAGGAGCGCATTCCAAAAGCGACAAGGGTTAGTTTGAAGTGGAGGTTGAAATACATGTTTTGTGACACCAGTCCTGGAACTTTACCGACACTTCGTGTAAGAGAATGGGTAAGTGTTGACACCACACGTATACGGAAAAGTCACACGGTTGGGCAAGCCCGCACAGAGAAAGCGCACACCAAGATTGTTTCAACTAGCGATCGCAACAGAGGCGGGGGCAAAGGGAACCTTGATGGATGGATAGAGGATTGAGCGCATACGATCGATCTTACGAAGCGACGCTGTGAAACCCAATCATAAAAGCAGTGTTCTAGGAGAAAATCGGAATGAGGCGAAACGAGGAAGACTCAGGACGCACAGTAAGTTAAGTGAAAAGGATAACTTACTCTGCCAACTTTATGGCATATCCAACAGTAGTCATCGGATCCAGGAGAATCCTCTGTATTCACAGAAAGTTTTTTCGTCTTCTCTTGAGTGGAAGAACGAATTTGCTCACGTCTGTTCCTGTGAATTTGTTTGGATAACTTGCGATCTAACGTTGGAAGAGAACTTCGTTTCGTCCGACTGCTGTGGGAACCGCAAGATGGGCGTCGAGAACGATGGTGAAGTGGTTCGTCTTCGTCGTCATCTTCTTGTTCTTCTGAGGGGTGCCAACTGGAGCTTTCGGCATCTGCGACATCGGAAACATCCTCGGTTTCGTCCAAAACGCTAGAAGAGCTTTCAAGATCCACATGTGAAGGGTCGGAGTTGGAAGGATCTGATGCGATTGCCTCAGACTTTGTTTTCTTGTCGGTCGTTTGGAACAATGTGCCACTAACACTCTCCTCTGACCGCTTGTCAATGTGTTTACTGTCAGAGTGGCTGGGCTCAACATCGGAGAGTACTGATGGGTGATGGGAAAAATGATGAAAAACGTTTGATAACTTAGCAAAACAATCTTACAAAATATCCCGATTCCCTGAGAGTGGGGGACGACGATGCACTTATTGACAACGCATAACTAAAAGACGCCACAGATAAAAACAGCCCGCAGGAATTCGTAGTTACTGTAACTTTAATTAAAGAAATAATCAGGATCAGTTCTTTTCTTGCTTGCTGTCTTAGTTGCTGGGGTATTCGTACCAATTGTTACTGGTACGAATACCACGTTGTGTGAATGGACTGCGACGTGCAGTCTCAATGTGGACCGAGATTCCCATTGAAGTAAACTTTGGTCATTCGGCCACTATGACCGCAGCTGAAAATTGTGTGTTACCCGCCCGAAAACACTGCACTCCATTGCACTGGAATGCAGTGTTTTCTAGGGGGGGGGGGACCCAAAAGTTCTATCGGTGAATACCAGTTTTACATGCAATCAATTGAAACATATTCATTTTAAACGCGCGTATAATTGTTGTAAAATCAAACACGACACTACATGACGCATAATGGGGGAGAAAAGCACACTGGACAGAGATATCAGGAAAAACAACACGACTGCGGTTATAATGGAGGAGTAAACACGTAACCGGCGTCACATAGACTAACAATATTCTGTACAGCACGGGATAAGTGGTCCCGAGAGATTAGTGATAGCTTCGATAGAAAGATTAACTGCACTACTCGAGTTGGCTGATCCACTTCTTAACACCTTAACCGAAAGTCTAGGTCTCGTTAGTAAGTTCGTTTCCGTATCTACAGCTAAAATGATCCGGCAGATGGTCTGTACTCGCTACCTCATACTCTTAACTGTTTCGGATAGGCTGCCTATTGAGAAGATAAAGCATATGCTCAATCCGTGGCCTAATGGATCACAAGCCTGCCTTGTAATCCGAGGGCGCGGATTCGAGCCTGCGTAGGAGACCGGGTGACCCACGCAGTATCCTTAGCCCACGCGCGACTGTTGGTAGTTGCGCGGAAGCAAAGCGTTGTTAGTGTGTACCAGCGTACTGTTGATATCATCTTCCTGAACGCCGTTGGAATGCAAAATGAAGCAACTGTCTCCATATATTTAGCAAAGGAGAATCTGGAGCATACCTGTATGAGCTAAGCAAATCCGAAAACGCTGAAAGTGATTACTTAGGCAGGACAGGCCAATCATGTAGGCAAAAACGGAACTCAGGACAACCAAATATAGGTTAACTAAAAGGTTACTTAAGTAGGTGCAGGCGCATATATTAAATAGACAGACTAGAATAAGATGCTTTTCGCAGGCTGGTTTGTTACTTGTACGTCAAGATCTATAGATGATTATGCATAGCTGTGATTTGCTGCATTTGAGAAGCCAACCCACTAGTTCACAATGATTGGCATTCGCTTTGCATCCTATCTTAGGGAAGTTATGCATACCATCACCGATTATTCGCTGTAATGGGTTCCAATTTGTCCCGAGGCATTATTTCTCGGGAGGTTTAGTAGTTCTCTCTGTCTCTCTCCTTGTCCTAATCAGTCGCGGTACGCGCACATCTTAGCTAGATAGAAGCCGAGCACTCACTGTAGAACACTCGCAAATAGAAAAGCCAACAAGCGTGTAGAATGTAGACAAGCCCAGCAATTTGCAAAATTCTCCCAGAATACTTGACAATTTTCATGCTACATTCATTTGAACCCCCGATACAAGCTCTTCGCTGAGTAACAGGCACAGCAACAAAGAAATGTGTGTGGGAATTTCCTCTGCTGAAGTAAAATCACTCCAACCTCAACTAGGACAAAGTGCAAGCGCAAAGCGAACGACTATTAGTTCCGTGATTGATGCAATGCTAGCATCAGATGCGCAATATCTTACTTGTTGACTTCTGCCCACACACAGTAGTACCTCCGTAAGTTGACCCCACACAAGAGACTGGACCAAAGTGGTCAACACAGAGAGGTTGTCAATATACAGAGGTCTGGATCCGTAAGGTTTACGTGGTGAACGTTCAAGCAATGAAAAAAACCGGTCAACTTGGAGAGGTGGTCAACTTCGGAGATATTATTGAAGTAGGACAATGACATTAGCTGTTGACTCGTCCCTAAGCAGGAACGGTTTCGTGCAATGTTGATAAATAATAGTTATTTATTTACACATCCTGCACTGCATGCATCGGAGTGAATTTTGGAGGTTTCAGCTAAAATAGTATAATGAAAACGGAACTACGCGGGATGCAGTGTTGGGAGCAAACAATATCGAAACTCCTCCACTTCGGATACGGCCCTAATAATCGGAGAGACCGAGGTCTACTTCAGTGAACCGAAGTTTCGGAAGAGCTTACGTGTCGCGATCCAGCCCCACAAGGTGGGCACTCCAAAGCCCAGGTTTGGAGACAGAACCAGCATTTTAGCATGCGTTTATAAAACCGTGTTAACTTCACAGTTGGGTTTCCAGAGTAGCTTCCTATGATACAAATGCCGGCATTTTTAAATTTCCAATCCTACCTATAGTTACCAAATTACTTGGCCGTACAAATGACAGTGTGGTTAGTTTGTACTACTTGAAGTGTCAAGCATGCACATGGATGCTGCTCTGTCACACTTTCGACCCCTCAGTATCATCAACGAAAGTTCCCATGTACCGGGCTGCGCCCACTCGTGGGTGCAGTAACACACACACTATTTACTCATTTAAAACGCTCGCCTGGTGCGAAACACCCGCCGTAGTAGATATAGGTCTGGCTTTCGATAGCAACTAGCTAGAGAGGATAACTTAACGGGCTTTGAAGTGTGCGTAATGACTAGTGATTAAACAGCGTGACGGAATTCGCTCATTACTTGAGAAAAAATAGGCTGACATTAACTTTGACAAGCATTAAATGCTTGAAAACGTAGTAAAAGCATTCGGCCTCTGGCATTACCGAGCGGGGATGGGGCAATGCCACAGTGGCTGAAGGATAAATTTAGAAACTTACGCAAATCCGAGAGTGGGTCAAACGCGGATGTTGTGGTTTTCGACTGCAGTAAAAGAAAGGGGATGATGTGGACACACTGGAACATCAAGCGAGTGACATAGTCGATATGAATTGTAAACAAGCAGAGAGCAGAGATTTAAAGCCTCACGTCAGCAGACTAGTAATTGATCCGGTTCAAATATGCTGCCTCAAATGATGAGTCTCAAGGTGGTATTTATCTTGCAACCGAAAGGGAAAAGAAACTCTCATGGGTCATTTGTGTGGAAAAGATAGCAGACACAGATGGGTTATCGGGATTTCCGGTGAGGGAAACAAATATTTAACGCTGTGTGTAGATATTGCGGGTTTGTCGATCGGCAGTGCGATTGTATTGTGATAGAAAATCATGGACAACGCCGAAGTAAATCAGACAACTGCCCTCTCACACACAGTCTGTGTTATCTCTCTCACAAAAAAAAATACAAAAATAAAAAAAACAAAATAAAAAAAAACACGTAAAATAAACAAAAAAAAATAAGTCCAAAAACAAAAAACAAGACGAAGAAAAAAAAACGACACCCAACCACCCACAAGCAAACCCCCCGCCCCCCCACCCCTCCCACGCCATCCCCCGACACCCCAATCCTCCCAGACCCCCCCACACTGCTCCCCCCCTCGCCCCACAACCCCCCTCCCCCCCCCCCCTGATTAGGGTCGTTGTGTCTCCCCTCCGCGCGCAACCCACATACTGAGAGATTCCTCGGGCCGTTAGTCATAAAATCCAACGTCGAAGACCAAGCAATAATCAATCACAATACAATCGCACTGCCGATCGACAAACCCGCAATATCTACACACAGCGTTAAATATTTGTTTCCCTCACCGGAAATCCCGATATCCCATCTGTGTCTGCTATCTTTTCCACACAAATGATCCATGAGAGTTTCTTTTCGGTTGCAAGATAAATACCACCTTGAGACTCACCATTTGAGGCAGCGTATTTGAACCGGGTCAATTAATAGTCTGCTGACGTGAGGCTTTAAATCTCTGCTCTCCTATTGTTTACAGTTCATATCGACTATGTCACTCGCTTTTAATGTTCCAGTGTGTCTACATCATCTCCTTTCTTTTACCGCAGTCGAAAACCACAACATCCGCGTTTGACCCACTCTCGGATTTGCGTAAGTTTCTAAATTTATTCTTCAGCCACTGTGGCATTGCCCCATCCCCGCTCGGTAATGCCAGAGGCCGAATGCTTTTACTACGTTTTCGAGCATTTAATGCTTGTCAAATTTAATGTCAGCCTATTTTTTCTCAAGTAATGAGCGAATTCCGTCACGCTGTTTAATCACTAGTCATTACGCACACTTCAAAGCCCGTTAAGTTATCCTCTCTAGCTAGTTGCTATCGAAAGCCAGACCTATATCTACTACGGCGAGTGTTTCGCACCAGGCGAGCGTTTTAAATGAGTAAATAGTGTGTGTGTTACTGCACCCACGAGTGGGCGCAGCCCGGTACATGGGAACTTTCGTTGATGATACTGAGGGGTCGAAGGTGTGACAGAGCAGCATCCATGTGCATGCTTGACACTTCAAGTAGTACAAACTAACCACACTGTCATTTGTACGGCCAAGTAATTTGGTAACTATAGGTAGGATTGGAAATTTAAAAATGCCGGCATTTGTATCATAGGAAGCTACTCTGGAAACCCAACTGTGAAGTTAACACGGTTTTATAAACGCATGCTAAAATGCTGGTTCTGTCTCCAAACCTGGGCTTTGGAGTGCCCACCGTGTGGGGCTGGATCGCGACACGTAAGCTCTTCCGAAACTTCGGTTCACTGAAGTAGACCTCGGTCTTTCCGATTATTAGGGCCGTATCCGAAGTCGAGGGGTTTCGATGTTGTTTGCTCCCAACACTGTATCCCACATAGTTCCGTTTTCATTATGCTTTTTTGCTGAAACCTCCAAAATTCACTCCGATGCATGCAGTGCAGGATGTGTAAATAAATAAATATTATTTCTCAACATTGCACGAAACTGTTCCTGCTTAGGGGCGAGTCACCAGCTAATGTCATTGTCCTAGTACAATAAAACTCCAAAGTTGACCACCTCTCCAAGTTGACCGGTTTTTTCATTACTTGAAGGTTCATCATGTAAACCTTACTGATCCAGACCTCTGTATATTGACAACCTGTCTGTGTTAACCACTTTGGTCCAGTCCCTTGTGTGGGGTCAACTTACGGAGGTACTACTGTGTGTGGGCAGAAGTCAACAAGTAAGATATTGCGCATCTGATGCTAGCACTGCATCAATCACGAAACTAATAGTCGTTCACTTTGCGCTTGCACTTTGTCCTAGTTGCGGTTGGCGTGACTTCACTTCAGCAGAGGAAATTCACACACATTTCTCTGTTGCTGTGCCTGTTACTCAGCGAAGAGCTTGTATAGGGGGTTCAAATGAATGTTGCATGAAGATTCTCAAGTATTCTGGGAGAATTTTCCAAATTACTGGGCTTGTCTACGTTCTACACGCTTGTTGGCTTTTCTATTTGCCAGTGTTCTACAGTGAGTGCTCGGCTTCTATCTAGCTAAGATGTGCGCGTACCGCGACTGATTAGGACAAGGAGAGAGACAGAGAGAACTACTAAACCTCCCGAGAAATAATGCCTCGGGACAAATTGGAACCCATTACAGCGAATAATCGGTGATGGTATGCATAACTTCCCTAAGATAGGATGCAAAGCGAATGCAATCATTGTGAACTAGTGGGTTGGCTTCTCAAATGCAGCAAATCACAGCTATGCATAATCATCTATAGATCTTGACGTACAAGTAACAAACCAGCCTGCAAAAAGCACCTTATTCTAGTCTGTCTATTTAATATATGCGCCTGCACCTACTTAAGTAACCTTTTAGTTAACCTATATTTGGTTGTCCTGAGTTCCGTTTTTGCCTACATGATTGGCCTATCCTGCCTAAGTAAGCACTTCCAGTGCTTTCGGATCTGCTTAGCTCGTACAGGTATGCTCCAGATTCTCCTTTGCTAAATATATGGAGACAGTTGCTTCATTTTGCATTCCAACGGCGTTCAGGAAGATGATATCAACAGTACGCTGGTACGCAGTAACAACGCTTTGCTGCCGCGCAGCAACCAGCAGTCGCGCGTGGGCTAAGAATACTGCGTGCGTCACCCGGTCTCTTACGCAGGCTCCAATCCGCGCCCTCGGAGTACAAGGCAGGTTTGTGATCCATTAGGTCACGGATTGAGCATATGCTTTATCTTCTCAGCAGGCAGCCTGTCCGAAACAGTTAAGAGTATGGGGTAGCGAGTACAGACCATCTGCCCGATCATTTTGGCAGTAGACACGGAAACGAACTTACCAACGAGACCCAGACTTTCGGTTAAGATGTTAAGAAGTGGATCAGCCAACTTGAGTAGTGCAGTTAATCTTTCTATCAAATCTCTTACTAACCTCTCGGGACCCCTTATCGCGTGCTGTACAAATTGTTCTTGGCCTATGTGACGCAGGTTACGTGTTTACTCCCCCGTTATAATCGCAGTAGTGTTATTTTTCGTAATAGCTCTGTCCAGTGTGCTTTTCTCCCCCATTATGCGTCATGTGGTGCCGTGTTTGATTTTACGACAATTATACACGCGTTTAAAACAAATATGTTTCAATTGATGGCATGTTAAACTGGTATTCACGGATAGAACTTTAGTGCTCCACCCTCCCAAAATACACTGCATTCCAGTGCCGTGGAGTGCAGTGTTTTCGGGCGGGCAACACACAGTTTTCAACTGCGGTCATAGTGACCGAATGACCAAAGTTTAGTTCAATGGGAATCTCGGTCCACATTGAGACTACGCGTCGCAATCCATTCACACAACGTGGTATTCGTACCAGTAAAAACTGGTACGAATACCCTAGCAACTAAGACAGCAAGCAAGAAAAGAACTGATCCTGTTTATTTCTTTACTTAAAGTTCCAGTGACAAAGAATTCGTGTGGGCTGTTTTATCTGTGGCGTCCTTTAGTTATGCGTTGTCAATAAGTGGATCGCCGGCGAAAGTAGATGCATTTTAACTTCTCATAACCTTCGTCGTCCTCCACCCTCAGGGAATCGGGATATTTTGTAAGGTTGTTTTGCCAAGTTATCAAACTTTTTCATCATTCTTTCCATCACCCATCAGTTCTCTCCGATGTTGGAGCTAGCCACTCCGACGGTAAACTCATTGATAAGCGGTCAGACGAGAGTGTTAGTGGCACATTGTTCCAAACGACCGACAAAAAGGCAAAGTCTGAGGCAATCGCATCAGACCCTTCCAACTCCGATCCTTCACATGTGGATCTTGAGAGCTCTTCTAGCGTTTTGGACGAAACCGAGGATGTCTCCGATGTCGCAGATGCCGAAAGCTCCAGTTGGCACCCCTCAGAAGAACAAGAAGATGACGACGAGGACGAACCACTTCACCATCGTTCTCGACGCCCATCTTGCGGTTCGCACAGCAGTCGGACGAAACGAAGTTCTCTTCCAACATTAGATCGCAAGTTATCCAAACAAATTCATAGGAACAGACGTGAGCAAATCCGTTCTTCCACTCAAGAAAAGACGAAAAAGCTTTCTGTAAATACAGAGGATTCTCCTGGATCCGATGACTACTGTTGGATATGCCATAAGGTTGGCAGAGTAAGTTATCCTTTTCACTTCCTAAATTACTTTGCGTCCTGCGTCTTCCTCGTTTCGCCTCATTCCGATCTTCTCCTAGAACACTGCTTTTCTGATTGGGTTTCACAGTGTCGCTTCCTAAGATCGATCGTATGCGCTCAATCCTCTATCCATCCATCAAGGTTACCTTTGCCCCCGCCTCTGTTGCGATCACTAGTTGAAACAATCTTGATGTGCGCTTTCTCTGTGCGGGCTTGCCCAACTGTGTGACTTTTCCGTCTACGTGTGGTGTCAACACCTACCCATTCTCTTACAGGAGGTGTCGGTAAAGTTCCAGGACTGGTGTCACAAAACATGTATTTCAACCTCCCAACTTCACTCTAAAAGTTTTCCACTTCAAAGCAACCCTTTTCGCCTTGGGAATGCGCTCCTGGTAGGACTCTTCCGGGATCCTCCGCAACCCCATCGTCACCGTCTTTTTGGTGTCCACTTTTTCAAAACGCGTCACCGTGATGACTCTTTTGAGCCTGGGAAGAGGAAGATATCGTCATAAAACCGAACCAGACTTGCTCATCATCGGTGATGAGTCATGTATCTTCGAGTACGATCTAGAGACCAAACGCCAGAGCCTTCAGTCAAAGAGTTCGTCACCAAGACCGAAGAAAACACGACAGTCGAAGTCCAAACTTAAAATTACTATAAGCTGCAAAGCACTTTGAGGCCTTGTGCGAACGCGTTTCCACCGGAATTAAAACAACAAAGCCGGAACTGGATAAACGGTACTATGTACAAACAGTTGGCAACACTAAATGTGCAATCCTTCAACAATCGGTGCTTCTAACGCCTGTCTGAATCGACAGTTTCAACTTACTCCAAATACCCAACAAATATGGCTTTAAGTCACTCGAATGTACGAGGGGGTGCTGATTAATTTCTAGCTTTGACAATTAGCCCAGTTGCTTGCCGTCCCCTAGTTCCTGTTGCTTAAAACTTCTGGCGAGTTGTGCGTCAGCTCCTAGCGGTCATTGAGTTCGATCCCAAGTAGAGGACCAAGGGAACGCACATCACTCACGTAGGCCCTATAGAGCGAAACAAAGCCTGGGGCTCTTCCGCACTGTGGTTGAGCTATGTAGCTTGTGAGCTAGTTGGGACTTAACATATTAAAACTAGACTTTAAAAGATTTAGAGTCATGGAATGACACATTTATTCATGTTCACCCCTAACTCTGATGCACTTAGTGCAAAGTATTTGCGGTTTTTCTGGACCGGTCCGGTAAGAGTCGTTTGGTTGTGCCTCAACCCAGCTGTCAGCAGCTTGTCTGACATCAGAAACGTTTTCATTACGTCGCTCCTTCATGTTTCTTCAAATCCGGGAAGAGACAATGGTTTGGCGGGGTCATTTCAGGTGAGTACTTGAGGATTGTGGACCAATTAGAAACATAGGATGTTCGATTTGGCAGTCACGACATTGGACGTGTGCGCAGGTACATTGTCTTGCAAAATGCTTTTGGTCAGGTTTCTACAGCATTTCTTTTTAATCGCCTCTCTCAGCTTGTCTAAGAGGTTAGTATAATACCCTCCGGTGATACTGGATCCCTGAAGAAGGCAGCTCACCAACAGAACACCGGTTTTTCCAAGAAAATGGACTCTATGACTCTTCGGATGATTTTTGTTACACAAATTCTTCGGCTGTATGGACTCATTGTGGCACCATTTCTTTGACTGTTCCTTGGTTTCAGGATGTTATACTTAAGTATTGATTCCATTCTCAATCATTAACATAGTCAAAAAGTCATGTGTAGCTTCCAAATTAGCCAAAATGTTTTCAGATGATTCAACTCGTTTCTGTTTCTGTTCACTGGTCCAACATTTCGACACCCGCTAACAACCACACGCTGCTGTGAAATATCCAACATATAGGCAACGTTTTTAGCGGATATTCGCCGGTCCTCCTTAATGAATTCATGGAAAGCATCACGGGTTGCTGGGTCAGTTGAGGTTTGGGCACGCGCACCGCGGGGCTCAACTTGTATCTTGTACTAATCAGACTTGAAGCGAGATATCCAGGTTTTGACAGTGCTGTGGGAAGGACACTTTTCTCCCAGTGTTTGTAAGATCTCATTATGAATTTCATTCGCTGACATTTTCCGGAGAAGCACAAACTTGTTTCTGCCCTTGTCTTCACAGCTTCAACCTGGAAAACAAGTTTTTGGAATCACGAACACCTATTAGGGTCTCATATGCCCCCACACTTTTTCCTATTTTGTCTGGAAAAGAGCAAATCTGCGTACTTATTAGCATGTCCTCGTACATACTAAGTGTATCATAATACGCGGTACCTTTTACGTGACGAAAAGTGAAGCTAATCGACCAATCAAAAAGCGTTACACAGTTTTACACTGTATGGTTTCATCGATACCCTGAAAGATGAGGAAAACACATTGATACGCATGAACAAAGTGGTTTATCAAAGCTGATCTCCATCCACATCAATGTTCCACGAATGCGAGGTCCCTGACCATACCATGTAACCACCGTGAATCGCGCGCAGGCGTGTCAAAGCAACAAACCCAAGCCATAAGTCAATCTCCAACGCGGTTTATGGGGATATGGAATTGAAACAGTCAAAAGCACCGACAACACAAGGGGTTATACCAGTTGGGCCGAGAATAGACTTGTTCGTATCAAATTGTGGTGAGATCAACGTGTGAGCGCGTTTTGTGGACTTTTTACCGTCGTCGTCTCACACATGCCCTGTTAGGACGAGAGACTAATTAAGCGCAGAATTCCATCAAATGAAAAGCCATGAGCTACCTACCATCATCATTATACAAGTTGGCAAAAGACGCGATGCTCCTCGGTTATTGGGCCGCGACATTGCCGATATATATATATATATATATATATATATATATATATATATATATATATATATGTCGCCAACTGGATCGGTCTCTGTCACAAGCTGCATCTGTGGAAGATTGTTGGATATTTATAAAAGAGAGATTGACATCATTGTGTTCCCAATTTGTGCCATTGAAATGTCGAATGGTTGGACCGATTTAGCCTCATTGGTTTGACAAGGAGTATAGAAACCTGGCTCGGAGGCGGCGCAGACTGTGGGACAAATTCCTCCTCTCTGGTTCTGCCAATGATTACGAAGGGTATAAATGTCAGCGGAACCTCTGCAACAGTGCAAAAAAGAATAAACGCCGACACTTTGAAGAGCAGCTCGCATTAGTCGCGAAGACCGCCCCAAAGAGAATCTTTGCATACGTGAAGCGACGCCTGAAGCCGTCAGGTGATGTGCCAGTGCTGAATGGCACGGATGGACAGCCCCTAACCTCCAGCACTGAGCGTGCGTCCGCGTTGGCGGCGCACTTCGCTTCTGTATTTGCGAATAACCAGGTGTCTGTTCCGAGTTCGACGTGTACCGCTTTTACCGAACTCGATAGTCTGCATTGCGGCGTTGAAGAGGTAGCTCAACTACTCGCCTACCTTGACGGCACCAAACCTGCCGGACCTGATGGGCTTCACCCACTGGTTCTCAAGTCACTTTCAACCATGCTCTCTCTTGTAGTGACTGACCTTTTCAACAGCTCGCTGTCCGCAGGTTTGTTGCCGGTTGACTGGAAATGTTCGGTGGTGAAACCTATTCCGAAAGGCGGCGACCCTAGCAAAGTAGACAATTACAGGCCAATTTGTCTGACACCTATTTTGGCAAAGGTTGCTGATAAAATCGTGAAGAAAAGATTGCTACAGTCAAACGAGGTCCTGACGCCCGCACAGCACGGTTTTATGCAAGGTCGCTCATGCATTACAAACCTGCTTGTGACGAGGCATGAGTGGTTGAAGGCAATAAACAAGGGGAAGTCCGTCGACGTGATATTCATCGATTTCAGTAAAGCGTTCGACAAGGTCAGTCATGAGGTTTTCCTTCACAAACTCAGCATGTGTGGTGTCGGTGGCTCACTGCACCGGTGGATCCGCGACTTTCTTGTTAGACGAAAGTGGAGGGTACAAGTCGACGACCATCTAACTGACTGAAACCCATCTACACGTGGCGTGCCTCAAGGCACTGTGCTGGGGCCCACTCTGTTCCTGATCCACATCAACGATCTACCGCAGCTTCTCCGGTCGCCGTGTGCCTTGTTTGCGGACGACATGAAGATTTGGAGAGAAACCGACGCTCCCGATGACTGTGGCCTACTTCAACACGACCTCAACCGCCTATCCACATGGTTTGCAGAAGTTCTTCTACCGGTCAACCCAGCCAAGTCTGCATTTATGAGCCTGGGGAAGGGTGCTAACGGCCGAACCTACACTCTTGACGGCCAAACGCTATATCCCACACCCTCTGTGAAAGACCTAGGTGTACTCTCACGCTACGATTTGAAGTCCGTGGACAACACGAATAGGCTATATCGTAACGGACTGCGCATGCTTTGGGCGCTCAAATGTAGCTTCGGCACATGGTCTGAAGAGTTTGCCACTCGCCTCTTCTCTTCCATCATTAGACCAATGCTAGAGTACGGTTCGCCCGCCTACTTTCCGATTACCAGAGGCGAGGCACAAAAGATCGAACGGGTCCAACACGTTGTTACCAGGCTGATCCCGAGTTTACGTGGTTTTGGGTATAAAGACCGGTGCGAGAAACTAGGACTCTACACCTTGTCCTATCGTCGGGTGCGAGTCGACCTCATTATGACCTACTGTATTCTACATCTCGGTGACTTCCCAATGCTAAGGCCAATGCTGCACTTACGAGGGCCATGCAGCACACGCGGACATAGATACAAACTTGTTGTGCCGGATGTGAAGCGAGTTGCCTACCCACTGTACTTCGAACGGAGAGTGGTAAACATTTGGAACAGTTTTCCTGAACATGTGATTGAGGCAACATCTGTGCAACAGTTCAAAACGTTGTTAGATTTATATTTCACCACTATTCGATTCAGAGAACGATTGCACACTTACGATGACATATCACATTTGTGAGTCCTGGAATGTCGTAAGTCAGA